CACTGCGGTCGCCATGTAGATCACACCAAATGGCGAAGACATCTTTTGCCACATCCCTCAATGTGTTGGAGACAGTAGCCACTGAAGAAAAATATCGGAAGCCAGCGCCAAACCTTTGCAGCAATTTGTCTGCCGTCTTCAATCCTTGAAGTGTCATCAGGTGCGATTGGTGTTCCAAGCAATCCACCTTGATGATCACAATCTGAGATGTGTCCTAGCGGGCAAAAGGCATGACTCTCATCAAGGCAATGATTCCCATACAGAATAGGGTTCCAACCTACCAATCAGTCTGAACATCTCTTTTAGACAGCCTCCAAGCTAAATTTGTAATTTGCGCCTCCTGCGCAGTGTGAACCAGCAGTCAGTCAGGCATCATAGACTGACGCACTGTGACACACTTTTGAATTATTGGCATTTGGAATTAAGATCATGGTGATCAAATCACATTCATGTGGCTTCGGGCCGCTGCCGCCTGACTTTGATATATCGTCTGTGCCTGCCCCCAGGGCTATCAAATTGCCAGCCAGAGCTTTCAGAGCTCTCTGAGTGTGACGAAGGTGAATCAAAAGCACCATTGCTGGAGTTTTCAATGTTCAACACATCAAAGCCGTCTTGTTCCAATTCTCCATAGATTGGAACCAAGAATGCCACAGTTGGCTCAGGCTGGTCAAGAATATTGGCATCATGTGAATCTTTGGCAGTAAGATGAACCCGCATTTGATTCCTGAGAAACTGGTACAAGCCGCACAAGCCACGCTTAGGCATGAAGTGCATGAAGATCAAGGATATCACACATAGGATGAAGCCACAAATGACCGCGCCGAAACCAAACCCCCCACTTGACACCATCATAATCCCTGACTGCAGCAGCAGCAGTGGTGGTGATGGCAATTTGCCAAAGCTAAAGATGATGCTGGTGGTGCTTCAGGGGCGCTTCAGTGATTGAGCCAAGGCTAGACCACACACTCTGCTCTGACACCCTTTTCTGCAATCCATATCTATGGCGGGGCCCACCACCACCAAGCAACCAACCAAAAGGTGGCCAAGGCCAAGACAAGACCCGGATTTCCCCAAAGACAACAACTATGGCAAACTGTAGAGTCAACAGCATCGGTGGTGGCTGATAACATGACTTGCTTTCAGAGGGTTGTTTGTCAAATGGTCAAACCATTGTTGCATTATACGGACTAACCAGCATGTTTGTTTGCGCATTCCTTTGTCTTGGGTTTGGCCTTTAGTCATGAGCAATGAGCAATAGCCCTTTGAACCCCGCTCTGGTCTTTGGTCTCTGGCTCCGCAAATGAAAGTGTTCAGTGTTCATAACGCTCATCTTTGGCAATCCCTCTGACATTGAGACCCATTGTTCGTTTCTAGTTGTTTGCTTGTATCAGTGTCCAGTGCTGACTGACAAAAGAGTTGTCCAATCTCCACCTCCCACCCACCACAAACATCCAAGAAAGACTCTACTGTTGAGAGTTCAGTGGTCCTTGGCGAGGATCTCCCAAAGCTTTTTGGCCATGACTTCGTTGCTGCCTCTATCAGATAGAAGAACAAAGAAATGCAACTTCCTGGGATGGCTTGAGCGCAGGACATGTGAACTGTGAACTGTGAACAGCCAATGTTACAATGATTCCATTACCGTTTATACAAGCCGTTTCCTCCCTGTGTGTTCTTTTTGTTTGGAATTCAATAGATTCCACCCCCTGGGGATAACACATTAACACATGACTATGACTCTGACTCACTTGAAAATCAAGCTTCTGAAGAGATTTGTTGAGCTCTGCGGAATAGAAATCACTCAATGTCTTGATTGTGGGACTTCCAATGGAACGTAACATCTTGTCACAAAGTGCAAGGGCCCCACCGCCAGTTCCATCGTCAACCGGTTGCACATCTCCAGCACACTGTAGTGACAAAAACCAATTGTCAAAGTCCCAAGTGAATTCATCCTTTGAATCAGGATACTCAACTAGCCAGGCTGTGTGCAGCAGAAGGGCACACAATTTCCGTTTCTGCCATATAGCAGAGTTGGTTGCGTCCTGGCTAACCACATGAATGCTCAGTGGAGGTGGGCCTTCCTCCATCATACCAGCATGAAACGCCACATGGGAAGCCATCAGTGCCGCAGCACTCTGCACTTCTGCTCTTGCAACAACAAAGCGGGAAGCATCGTCCAACAGAATCAATGAGAGATCTCCACATGCCACATTGGAAAAGTTTCTCCGGATACCCAATGAAATCCGGCTTGTCAGAGTGAGGTACCTTCCAGTGCCTTCGGCTCCAGTTCTTGTGATTGCCAATCTTGACTCAATACTATCAGCCGCAGTTTTCTTCCTACTCTTGCACGTTTCCAGCTCTTTCTTTGAAGCTTCTAAAGCTTTGCCCTTCCTGCGGACTGACTGCTGCAAGAGCCTTGTTTTCTTTCTCAAGTCATTAATAGTTTGGTCTCTTGCCAATTCTCGTAATTCTGAGTCTTTCAATTTTCTATCTTGCTCAGCCACTACTTTCAACAGGCCCATCCAAGACAAAGCCCCATATGTTCTTTGGTATTCCTCTAGATCTGCAGCTGCTACATCTGAAGAAGACGCTGACCTTTTGACGCCCTGTCTGCCAGACGAAGATGACTGGCCACCTGAATCATGCCATTCGGTGGCATTCTGAGCATTCTGCCTTCTCTGAGCATGTTGCTGTTGCGCAACATTGAGTAGTCCATCACCACTACCTGGGACCGAGTAGCAACATCTGTGGTGGTGGTGGTAGCCTGAAGCCTGAAACCTTAAATGCGTTGAAGTATATAATGTTTCCCTGCCTCACACAAAATGAGCAACAACCCACCAAACCGAAAACACCATCAAAGACAGCCTGAATGGCCTGAATGGCAAACTGTAAACAGCATAGTGTAGAGGCCTGGATACCTTTGGAGGTCCCGCGCCGACTTCTACATCGGGATGATGTAGCCACCCTTCGTGCAGTTATACCTGCGAGTTGCTGCTCTGATATTCCGGCCATGCAAGCACGTGGCAACAATTGACTCTTGATTCCTGACTCACAATGAGTTGGCCCAATAGTCAAAACTATGGCCCAGACCCACATGGGATGTAGAAGAAGATTGATGTACACTTGCAGAATCTGAAGCAGTACCTCACTCGTATTGCAAGCAAATTGAACTTGAGCTATGAGGAAGCCTTGCAAGGAAATTGAGCAACAAAGGGTTGTTCAGCACTTGCAATCCAGTTGCTATGTGTATTCGTTGGCTCATGTTCTAGGGTGATTGACAGGCCAGGATGTTGATGATTAATGCTCCTCACAATGTTTTCCCACACCTCTGGCTGCACATTCACGTAAAAGGATTCCAAGACTGCCTTCACATCGGCCAGAAACAACCAGCAAGAATCCACAGCCCTTCCTTTCTTTGCTCCTGTAACCTTGCTCAGCGCCAACTCAACCGTAAATCCTAAATCATCTGTAGACTTCCATAGTTTTTTGTTGCTGAAGACTGGTTGCACTATTTGCATCAATCCTTTCACCACAAGATCTCGAGAGAAAACAATGGCCCCACAGCCATGTCCCTCAGCAGCGCTCAGCAAGAAGTCCAGCAACTGATTGTCACCGATGGTGCTGCAACTGGTCATTGGCGCATCAGGCATGTACGCTGGTGTTCTTCATGCGTGCATAGTCTGATTTGCCCTAGTAGATTAAAATACATCTCAAAATAGATTTGGTGAGTATGCTCCCTATGTGTGACAGTCATGTACGTTGCTGAGACTGACTACTGCTCTCAAAAACGTATTTCTTTGTTTTTTAAACATGTGGACATACACGTTCTCGGAAACAAAACAGTGCTGTATTGTACAACTTTTTCATCTATCATTTGATGATATGACATCTGTCCTCCACTGGTATTGGACCAGTGTTGAGCCTAGCCACCAATGTTTGTGGCCCTTGTATGCCGCATACAAACAAGTCTCACCCTTGTTGCGCTAGCTGTTGGTCAGATGTGTTGAACAATACCCCCGCTCAAGAATTTGTCCAGCTTTGTGGGAATCAATGAACACATGCCACAATGCACACAACACCACTTGCAGTGTGTATATGACACATTCACATACCAGTGGATGAATCTTGCAAGGCTTTGCCTCCATCCTCTCACGCAACTCAGTCTCAGCAGTTTTGTGGTGTGTACCAGCTGAAAGTTCTGAGCACATGTTCTGCCAAAATCAAATCACTTTCCTATGGTCACAGAGTTGTTAGAAAGCACTGTCATGTTTCCAATAACTCCACAGGACACAATGCATCTATGTGCATATTGAAATTGCAACACGTGTGCATGGTTTTTAATAGTTATAGTTGGCCAAGTCACATTGTTATTCTAAGACTGTGACATATGATTTCCGGTGCAAGGAAAGATTGTCCTACCCAAAGTGCTTGTAAACATTAGTCTCCTATCCTTCAATTATCTCTTCTTAGGCCGCCATAACAACAATGTGTTTGTCCCCAGTACATGTAAAAGCATGCTATCCCCAAATCCATAGTTTTGTGGCGGCTTCGCCCTACAGCTGGGCGAGGCACGTCACGAAGCGATGGCCTCCAACCTAATAGCAATGGCCTCCAACCTACAAGCGATGGCCTCCAACCTAACAGCAATGGCCTCCAACCTACAAGCGATGGC